TGATATATTTTAAAATTTAAAAAAAAAAAAATCATATCAGATGCCGATGCAAAAATTATTATTTGTAAATTGAATTGTTTTACCTTTCCTTTTTTCATAAGTCACATATCGTGATACAAAATTAATAAAAATAATAATTATATAATTCAGTATACTTCAAAAATTAGAACACGATTACTTTTTTAAAAATCTATCTTCAAGTTCTTATTTTCTTTAAAAAAAAATTTGTCAAAGGGAAATAAAACCGCAAAATATTTAAAAAATTATTTCACGATATAACATTTTCTCGGTGAATAATTAAAACCTCTGGTATTTTTTAATCAAATTTTCAGTATTTTTTTATCAATATATTTTATTATATTTTAAGCAGTATAAAATTAATATTTAATCAATGTAAGAATTTCAGTAATAAATCCAAAATTGGGCAGTATTTTTTTGATCAGTATAAAATATAATTTGTTAGATAAAAAAAAATTACGATTCCTTAGAACTTATGATGGAATTGGCTAGTGATAAAATCATTGAATGTCCTAAGTTGATGTTCAAAGAGTTAGAGATCTGTCCCCATGTGAGACAAAAAAATTTCTTAAACCAAATTTTTGGACATCAAATTTTAGGTATAATTAATTATAAATTTATTTTACTGGGTAACAAATCAGTTAAATTACTTGAAACGAACCCTAAGATACTGACATATTGTTTAAATTTATTTATACTGGGGTAAAATTAATAATACCGACAATTTTTGTTATTACACTGAAAATAATATTGTAAAAATACTAGTAATTTGGAGTAAAATACTAGAGAAATACATTTTCTCTTTTTTATTATTAAAAGTCGAAATTATGTCATTGAAAAATGAAACAATGTTTGGATTATTTTAAATTTTTTCTCATACTCCACTTAATTAATGACAACGATAAGATAAATTATTTGTACAGCGATATGCGTTTACTAAAGAGTTGTTTTATGTTATCTTATCAAATTTTCGCGCCCTTCAATATTTTTTTATCTTTCGAAATTGTTTAGGTGTAAAATATTATAAGTAAAATCTTTACCCCCCCCCCCCCCCTTCCGCCCCCTAAAATACACGTTATATTACCTTTAGATTTTTTTTTTACCTTACCTCAAACGCCAAGACTAATGATTGATTGTTGTTATTTTAGTTAGCTCAAAGTCAAAAGTTACAAAACCCGAAAATTAAAAACCGTTAAAGTCAAGAATAATTGAAGTTTAAAAATTTTGGGGCCCAAAATTAAGTCGCTAAATCCCATAAAATGTTATATCAATAAAACCAGTTATTTTTAAAAAAATTTCCACTTGGAGAAAGATGGCATTACTAATTTTAAAATTTATTCCCAAAGGGTTCATAATACTGTTCCATTATTCAAATCTTTTTACCCTTAAAATTTATAACATTTTTAAAGCGCCCTCTTGCGATAAAAAGTTATAGCCAAATATAACAACCGTATTTTCAATATAAATTTATAATAAAATATTTATTCAATAAAAATACCTCTATTTTTATCAAATTTATTAACTGCATAAACCAATATGAAGGGCCCTTTTTGTCTTCCATTTTTTTAAAAAATTTCCCCAATAATAAAAAAAATCTCTTCCAAATCTATATTCCAATTTGTCCATGTCATATACATGTGAACATATCTATTCAAAACGGTTAAATTCCCATTTTTCTATCTCAAATACTATGATGTTTTTTCTTCTATCTCCTATTTCTGTGATGTATGAAAAATAAAATCAGCGAATAATGATTATAATTTTTTTAATCAATTTTAGAACCTGGACTTAAAAAGTTGATGAGTTTGGAACTTGTACTAAAAATAAAAATGGTTTCCTGAATATTTTTAAAAAGTGATTTTAGTCATAAAATTTTGAAAAAGCGGGCTCTGTTCCCGGTTCAAAATCCTGGTTTAGATTCCAGACTGTTAAAATTATCAAAAAAAAATTTAAACAGTAAAATACACCCTCAAAAATGATTAACGCAACTTGCAATTTGTTAGATTTTTGGAAATTATAAAACGGGTTCCGGTTCTGGTGGAGACGGACATTCGATCCGTCAAAACTCAATCTCATAAAAAATGATATAAATGTTCATAGTTCCATACTATTTAATTCGATAGGATTATTTACGGATTGGATATCCGTTTCTATTATGAAAGAAGCTCAAAGAGAGTTCCACTTTCTGAGGGGTCTGGTTTCAAAATTTGGAATTTTTTGCTTTTGAAATTCGATTTAAGTTAATTTTTCTTCGTTTTGTTTCATTTAATTTTTTTTAAAACTAAAATATTTTTTCGTTTAATTTTTTTTTAAAAAATGAGTATGTCGCCGAAACATGAAAAGGAAATTTGTATTTTTTTATTTTTAAACAGAATAAAGTGTGTCACTTTTTTTACTTAATTTTTTATATTCACTTTATAGTTTGAAATTTTTCGGGTTGAGAAGATTATTTGTTGCATCTTAAAAATACGACGATATTATTTATTGATAAAACAGTTAATTTTTGTGATTTTTTTAAAAAAAATTTGTTTTTACCGTACTGTTATTCGATATAATAGTATTATTTTTTTGTGCTTTAAGATTTTAATCTTTTATTCGGCATAGTTAAATGTAATTTATAAATTATTCAATATAATAATTTTTCTTAATTTTATATTATAGATTATATTCTGAAAAAGGAAATTTTTTTAAAAAAATTAGTTTTTAAAAATTCTATTATTATTTTTGAACTATACACATTTATTTTTAATTTAGATTTATTTATACTTCTTTATTTAAATCTTTGGGATGTCTAAATAGGCATCATATAAAAACCAAGGATGCATTGAACTCCTCTTTTTTTTAACCTATACTAACAAAATAGATGATGATACCAAAAAAATGATGTAGATTATTTATATTTATTTATTTAGTTATAATTAATTAATTAAATTTAAAGTAAAGTAAAGAAATTTGCTTTAAAATATATATGATTTTTTTTATCTTAATGTTTGTAGGCTGGTGTTGTTAAAACGCCATGAGCCGAGGTTGAAAAAATCACCCAGATTTTAGGTCGTGGTCTTTTTTCATCTTTGACCCCAGGAAATTTGGGTTAGCTCTGTTCGAGCCGACTCGGCTAACCCGTTTAACAAGACTAAGACTAATATATATTTTTTAAAATTTATAAAGGTTAATTATTTTCGAATATCAGCCACTAGTCTGTTTTAAAAAATGTATCTTCCCTAATACTGAGCAATACTGTGAGTATCGGTCTGAAAAATTTACATAAAACTGGCATATATGCCAATCTAGTTATTATCTTACGAATTCTAGTTTTTTAAAAGGGAGGGGGTTTGAGAATCAATTAGCTGCTATGAAAATTATTATGTATTTTGGGAAGCGAAAGTTTGGTAGTTTTAAAAATTTTAAACATTCCTTCTCACGTTAAATTTTTTAAAGACAATATATTATGGATTTTCTCTTTTGTATAAAAGTAAGTTTAATTACATTTTCTTCCCCGTACATTCATTAAACCTCTCCCCATTTTTTTTATCTTCAACAAAAGATCGAAGAATATAAGCAAATTTTTATTATAACATAAATTCCCAGGGGCGCCTGCCCTCCTCTCCCTCACAAAAAACATTTTCAAAATCCTGACAAAATTTGGATTGTTTATTTACTCCTAAACTTTAAAATCTTAGAGTTTTATAACTTATTATATATGAAGGAATGGGTTATGTAAAATGGATATCGAAATTGTGACTGTATTATCCGTTTCATGTATTATACTAAGGGATTCTATAGGAATCGCATTTCAAAATTATGAAGTGGATCATTAAATATTTATATATTTTAAAAATTCTAGATGGTATTATTTTTTTTACATTGCCTAATTTGGAATATATTCTATCAATATTATAGTGTTTACGGGAAAATAGTAAACAGGGTTGCCAAGTCAAAATTTTAAAATTGAGGGAGAATTCCCCCCCCCCCTTTATTCACATATAGTTGTTATATTTATAAAAATAAACAGTATTTTATTCATCATAGTGCTACCAAATTAAGGCGTTTTTTGCGCTTTATTTCTAATGATATATCGTGTAGTCTAGGTCGATTTTTAAAAACGGTCCTGTTTTCGCTTAAATAATATTATTTAAGTCTCAAGATTTGGCAAATAGAGTTCAAAACCTTTCTGCCACCTATAAAATCTCCAGGCTTACATAATATTATTTTGGTTAAAATCTCAATCTGGCCGTTTTTAAAAATCGGGCTCAACAACACTACTTTTGTGGAAATTGCCAAACCTTTTTTACTTTTTATAATATTTAAAAAAATTTTTTTTAACATGTGTTTTATTTATTATAGAAAAGTAAATCCATTATTTACATGATTTTTTATTGTCTAAATAAATTATTTAGTGAGACCAAAATTTATAAAATAGAATCTTTATTTCTAAATTTGTTTCTTAAACGATATTTAAAATCATCAATATTGGAGAAATTCCCTGTCTTACAAATTAAATGTGACACCATTTATAATTTATTATACAAGGCAAGCCCACCCCCCTCCCCACCTTCCAGGAAAAAATGTTGTATTCGTCTGTCCTGTTATTGATTAAAACATATTTATCATTATAATTTAAAAACTAGCTCCAAATAAAAAGTAGGGGGGTTCTGAAATTTCTTCATTTTAAAATTCATCTATTTACTTATTTGTCACTTTATATTTATTTATTAAATAAAAATTAAACAAATACTGATTATAAAAATTATTATATATTTCATTTAATAATGCTAAAAATTTTAATGTTGAAGAGATTTTTATGAGAAATCATGGTAGTTATAAGTGTAGATTCTCTCGCTGATGGAGAAGACCTAGCAACCCTGTTAGCGAACCTTTTAAATCATAGTTATAGTTTTTTATCGTTTTGCCCTTTAATTATATGATCAAAATTGTATATAATATATTTTTTTATTTATAAACAAAATATTAATTTTTATTAGACATTAAATCAAAATGGCTCTCTCGTTAACGCTTTGCGATTCGGACACGCTGACGAATTGATATTAACCGGTTGTCTCAAAGGTTTTGTCAACGTATGGGATCTTCATCCCATACAAAGTATATAGGATTTAAAATATTTTTTTTGTTGTATATTTATTTAAATTTGAACTTTATTAAATTTTTTTTTAAATGTTATCTAATATGGGTTCTAATATACAGGCCCCACAACCAGAAATTTTCTACGGGGGAGGGGGATAATTTTTTTTTAAATTAAAATTAATTTTTTTTTAGAACATTAAAAATTTATTCGAACTAATCAATATATATATAATAACCAATCATATTAAAAATGCCAATTTTGAACACAAATAATAAAATATTTAAGAATGAATATAATATTGCTAAAAGATATTATAGATATCAGCGATATATACAAGTAAAATATAGAATTCAAAGACCTGCAGAAGAACCCATTGCACGGCAAGGTCCGGATTTGAAAAAATATTTCGGCCCAGGTGTTTAAATTTTTTCTACGCCTTGGTTTTTTTTAAGAATAAAATATACCTACTCGGAATTTTGCGGATCGTTTTTTAGCAAATATGAAATCCATAATATAGTAAAATGGTAATAGGAAATATGATAAGTGAAAGAATGTGATAATTTTTAAATATATTTAATTTATATATATAATAATAACGATATACAATATTCGGCACGTTCCGTGTATTTTTTAAATACAATTTTAAGCCAGGCTTGACTCTAAATTAAAAGAAAATGTTAGAGCCGGATGTGGTTTATTTAAAATAAATTTATGGTTCACGGGCCGACCTTGCAGGTCTTTGATAGAATTAAACATATGGAAAAGTTAATTAAAATATCGTTAGTGAGCAATGCTTCTATTATGTTTCTTGCAGGATTGTCTATAATTAATTATTCATAGATTTAAATTTTGAAATGGATAGACCTCCAGATATATTTATCCTCTGAGTAAAATTTAACTAAATATTAAATTTTTTCAATATCTAGATTTAACATGTCCTCAGAAGGATTTATAGGTAATTATATTTTAAATTGGATAGAGGCATTTGATGAATCACAAATCGTTCATTGATTAGAGTAAAACTATATCCAAAAGTGGAATAACAACGGTTAATTTATAGTAATCCCCATCGAGGGAATGTTAATATTGGATTTGGAACCTTTTGTTTGTCTAGATGCAAGTCGAGGATTGCTAATCTCAAAATCATATAATGTCTCTTTGGACTCAACTATCACATTAATCTCGTGAAAAGGACGTTATCATCTATTCGCGATTCTCATAACTCCATATCATTTTTTTGAAAAAAATGCATAAAATTGTGGTTTAATTAAATAATTTTTTAATAAATCCTAATGCAAAAAAAATCGGCTGTTGTATTAAATCTAATAATGTGCAGATAAAATATTTCATTCAGATCATTCTAATATTTCTCCAAGGGCATTCAAAATAGGCTCTTCTAGATCCAAAAATGCAGTAACAGCTTGATGTCGAAGGTTCCATCTTGTCGTTCTTTTTGTAGTTTTTTTCTTGTCGCACATTCTCGGAAATAATTCTATTCAGCAAATTCCCTCTCCTTGGATAACTGAACATTTTAAACACTGTAGAAATGTTGCATAATCATAGTTTAAATTAAATGGTAATTTTTGGTATATAAAATTATCTTGTATCCATCAATGTTTAAGGTTTAAAAAAATGTAAGGAAATATATTTGTGGAGGGAAGAAATATTTTAATTAATTTAAAATTTTTGCTAAAATTTAAATATTTGAAATAGAAAATATTGCAATTCACAATTCATGAAAATCTTTTATATTTTTTCAAAAAATTTTGCTACAGCCTGATGGCTACTTGCCTGCTAATATATAAATGGTGAATTTTTTTAAAATAAGTAATAATTTTATATGATGGAACAATGATCATTCTCAAAATTCATATTTCTTAACAATTTATCCCCTTTTTTCTACCACGATGTTTAATTCTGAAGTATTATTAAACGATATAATACTAGTACATTAATGAAAACAAGCTGTGTGTGTATATGCTAAAAAAAAATTTTACAATAAAATATACAAAATTACACGAGTTGATAATTTACAAAATATATTAAAATACCCTTGTAATTTTTCAAAATGTATAGCTATCAGAACGTTTAACGATTGTAAATCATCTGTTACCAGTCTTGACATGAGCCTCTCTGGTCTGATATTAGCAAACGGGGCTTCCAATGGAAATATTAATGTAAATAATCTTTATATTTTCACGAGAAGCAAAAATCTAACTTCTCATTTAAATTTTTGCATAAAAGTTGAGCTTATAATATTAAATAAATTAAGTAAACAAAATTAAACATAATATTAAATATGATAGGTATTACTTTTGAGGAAAATTAACTTTGTAAGATTATTTTAATATTAAACTTGTAAATCCTTACTTTAATCAGGCTTTATAAACTATAATTAGTTTAGATGCCGAAATCGACCAAAATATTTTTTATGATAAATATTAATTTAACTCTAGCTCTCTCATGAAAACAATACTAGCCCACACCAGGCTTTAAAATAGAAAATCTGTTTTAAATAAATGAAATTCATTTTTATCTTTCCACTATTAATAATAAAACAAATGAATTGTATACAACAAAAGATGTATCATTAATTAATTATCGACCTAAAACTCACGCTTACAATTTTAGATAATATGCAAAATATACTATAGCTTATATTATTCTCGTTTATTTTATTTTAATGTTTTCTATTCATATTTTTTAGGTATATGATATGCGTTCCGCCACCTGTATAACTGAATTAAAAGTAAAATTTATCTATCATCTATTATAATTATGAAAGATTGAGCTTTTTTAAACAGGCATACAACCATCTGAATACACTTTTTAATATTACTATATGCGACTTCTGTTCTGCTACATGCAACGCGGTCTTTAAATAGCCAAATACAGAAAGAAATAAGACATTTAAAGGGTAGTGATATTTAGCACACGATTTGATGATATATTCACAAAATTAATTTGGATATTTAGTCGCAAAATTTTATTGAACTATTTTTAATATATGTATTATCCTATATTTCTCTAACCTTTTAACCCATCTCTTTTTCTTAGGATCCAAGAGATAGAAAAAATGGCCCCCAAAAAGCTTTCCGTGCACCTTTCGTAAAGGTCGAACTCTCTGAGAGAGGATGTTTTTTTATGAATAACGCTTGTAACTAAATATTCAAGATAATTTTTATAACGAAATCGACATGGATATATTGCTTCAACAGATTATGTGCTAAATATTATTTTCCTCTTTTACAACATAAACCCAAGCATCGCCCATATATGTGTTATTAGTTAAATCAAGCATTTATATGAAAGTTTTTAAAATTTAACACTAAATTTTTGGAGCAAATAAAAATTGACTTGCTTTACTTAATTCCACTCAAAACACACGTATTGGCTATGGTTAGAGATAGAAATTGGAAAATTGGGAAAAAACGGGAAAATTATAAAATATAATAGAATTATAATAAAATTCTTGTAAAAATAAGAATTGTTTTATATATAATAACATCATAATATAATTTGTTAAAAATTGCATTTTACATCAAAAATTGATTAAACAATATATATTCATTTGATATCAATGTCATTATCAATGGATATGTGAAGTTAAAGACCAGTCTGGTTGGGCCTGCGATAACATCAATAATATATAGGCCAGTCGATGGCTTGAAAAATATTAATCTTATATTTCCTTCTTATTTTTCCTTTTTTTAGCTTGATTGAGAATCACAATTATAAAATTAATTATTAAAAATTAGGGAGGTGTGGAATATTTACTATTAATTTCTTATAATATTTTGTAAATGAATAGAATAAAATAGATAAACACCATTAAATTTATCAAAGTTATTGGTATATATTTAAATTTTATGCAAAAATAGAAAATTAAATATTTTGAGTTGGGATTTTTATTTTATGTTTTTTTTTAAAATTTGAGATAAGACGGGTTGGGACTGGCCTGTTTGAATTGTTTTTTTAAAAACTGGGTTGAAAATTGCACAGAGCCGTAGGTAATCTCGGGCCAAAAAAATTCTATTTTACTGGTCTCTAATTAAAGTGGTTGGTACTACTCTTTGATTAAGTAGAATTCATTTAACATGAAATGAATTTATTTAAATTATATATAATCGAATGTCTTATTATTTGGCTTATTAGTAGAAGCTTTGCTATCCCTGGCAATACATTCCCGGAAATGATTTAAGACATACTGCAAATGACATTTCTATCATTTTAGTAGGAGTCGGGAATGTGTATTTAAAAGATAGGTTCAATACTCACATACTGCTATTTTTTTATATTAATAACACTTTCTTTTAAGAAATGAGTCTCAACAGTTTGATTTGCTTTCAGGACAATAAAATTTAAGTTAAATCTACTATACTTTTCGAAATGGTTTAATTATATTAATCAAGGATGTTTTAATAAATAAAAATTTATAATAATGAAATTTTCAATATTTGAAAAGCAGTATAAACCACGTAATATATATGACATAATAAATACCCGACAGGATATATAGAATTTGTCAGATTTCTATCATTATTTATTATTAATTGTTGCATATTAAAAAATATAAAATATGGGTAATTTTTCCCTGGAAAATAGAGAAAATTCTCTTCATTTACATCTCTAGCTATAGATGTTTACATTTATAAATTTGAGTGGATTTCTTTTATTTTAACCAAATTTGATAGGAATTGTCTTGATTGCATGTAGTAGCACGAAACATTATTATATACCATACTATTATATTTATTTATTTTTGGAAATGGAAATGGAAATCGAAAACGTAGCATTATGATAAACGGATAAATTGCATTAGGTTTAGTCCAGATAATAAATGGCTAGCCACCGCTTCAGATGGCACATCAATCAAAGTAATGTATATTTTTAAAAATTATATATGTAAACGGATTTTGAAGTTTTTCCCCAGTTTGTTTTGAGATGTTTAATCATAGTGCTTATGAATTGGATTTTTGTCTTGCGTTTGTTTTTAAATAAGCATTAATCAGTTAATTTGTTTATTTAAGAGATATTTCGGTAGTAAAATAAAAAATTTATCAATTTGGGTGATACCGGTTGTAATATATTATTTAAAAAAAACAACGCAAGATGTTCAACTCATAAGCCCCTAGGAAATAAATTAGAATTAAGGTTGCCAATCTCCCAATGCATATTATAAAGGGGTAATTACTGTAAAACACAGTTATATAATTATATGAGAGCCAACAAAAAAAGCTAAAGAAGATTAGACTTTTTTTAAAAATATACATTCATTTTTACAGATTTGGGATTTATCGACTCGGAAGACGATATGCGAACTTAATGGACATACCTTACCTATTAATAAAATCGAGTTTCATCCTACCGATCTGATCCTAGCCTCTTCTAGTCTTGACAAGTTAGTTATAATGTGTTTGTTTATTTGGAATTCAAATTTAATTTTAATTCTATTTGTTTGATATTTTGTTTCTCTTAGATTAAAATTTAGCCTATAATATATATTAAAGAAATGATTGCAACTTATCTTTTTAAAATATATGCAAATAGGACAATAAAGTTCTGGGATTTGGAAAAATTTGACTTAATAAATACAACTCCACCCGAAAAAACCGTTTACAAGTATACTAATTAACAATTGAATAAATTAATCACTTTACACATTCTAATAATTCTACGTAGAGTTATAACCACTGTTTATTCTTTACACTGGTTGATTATTACAATGAAGCCTTCATACAGGCATCAACTCAGGACACTATTACTTTATATAATTAATTTAAAATTCTAACCAATTTATAATTTTTAAAAAAAATCAATGATATTTGCAAGCTCTATATTTTTTGACACTAACGGTCACTCTCTCCTCGCCTCTCATAGGAATGGACTAAGAATTTTAAATTCGGAACCATTGGATCATATCGATGAAATCAAGGTTGATTGGGGAACTATTATCGACATGGCACTAGCTCAGCAACAATTAGTAAATAATCGGAATTAAAATAATTTAATGATTTTTTTTTATTTCAACCCATTTTTTTTTTTGAAGGGACAAAAAATTTCAATTAATAATTTATAAAATATATTTATACTAAATATAAAAGGTCTCGCTAGCTCCTATGCCTATCATTTAGGCATGCTGAGCAGGCTTTTGCCCTTTCATTATTACGTAACTGTATAACATTCCAATTATATGAATAATGTTATACATTCTCAATAGATCGCCTCATCTTTTTCCGGCAAAATGGTGTCTACTTATGGAATTGATTTAAAAGTATGCATATTTAAAATATATTAATTTTCTTATACGATGCATATATATTTTGTTAAAATATATTTGAAAACTAACCAAATATTTTTTGTAACACAAGAAATGCAAAACAACCTATCCAAAATCCATGAATAAAACACGAAATTTGAACGGTCTTGTCAACATGGAATTGCCACCCATATCATCCACGGATGGCTTAGTAAAGAAATACTCTACTCTAAAGACGAATATAAGACCGAAAATCCCCACAGGAATTATCAATCCAGGGTGTGGAAACGATCCTTCTTCCACGGGTAGATTCATATTTTTGTTTACTTTTCTATTTTGGTTTCTGATATATGTTTTATATGATTTTTGATAAACAAATATTGGAATTAGATTCATTATTTTTTTGACCCGTGTAAATTTTATTTTCAAGTTTTAAGAAGTTTTTTTACATTTGATTTTATTTTTATATAAGATTAGTGGTAGCCATTATTTTCGCCCTATATTCTTACCTTTTTAAAGTATAAAATGTTGGTTTTTGTTAGAATTAATTACCTTAGAACATGGTAAATAATCTCGAATTTAAAGAATATACACAATAAGATAAATTATGATATAGCCTAGAATCAAGTTTATCATCCCAGAGCACCCAGATAATTTGAAGCTATTATTGAAAATTAGATTTTTTTAGAGTTATTATTTGTGGCTGGGTCTAAACTTACTTATTGTTCCTTCTCCTGTATTTTTTCTAATCTTTATTTTTAGTTTGATCATTGTTCATTTATCCCTTGTCATAAGAACATTTTCAGTTTTCTGGTGTATTTGCAACGTACGTTATTATTAAGAATTATATAACTTGACTATTCCTTCTTCACTGCAATTACAACCTTTATATTTTTTGCACGGCATTATTTAGTGTTGGATGAACATTAACAAACGTCTTATTCCTTTAATTTTTAGCTTAGATATAAGGATATTCAAAAAAAAAACAAATCTGATTTTATGAAAGAATTTTTATTTTTTTAAAAAATATATTTTAGTATTATGTTTAAAAAAAAAATTTAACATCAGCGATTACCAACGCCCTTCCTCGAGATATAAACGCTGAAAGTGGCCTCGACAAAAAGAGACAACTCTTGAAATACAGGCGTTCTATGTCCCATTTGCAAACTTTAGCTCAAGGAAACGAATGTTACGCCAAGAAGCAACAAATTGCAAATGTTGTTAATCCAAATTCTCTTCAGATATCGGCAATTAATAGTAATATTGGAAGATTAACAAACTCTAAAGCTGGAGTAGGTGAGTTATTTTTTAATTTGCGTTAATTAATAATATCAAATATTAATATACTTTTAAAGTTTAATAGTGGATTCTAAATTTTATCGTGAAATTTTGTATATTAATTTTTACTACACACAATACTTCTTTTTAACCAGTAACAACTCCCGAGGAAGATTACAAGGATTACGACATTTCTGAAAAGGTGAAACGCTTAGCCGATATCGTCAAAAAAGGAGCGACAACATCTATTACCCGGCAATTCAATAATTCTACCTTTAATTTATCTCAATTATCATCGCATAATGCACCTCTAAAATCGTTCAAAGATCGGCCTCGGTCTAACTACCTCAACTCTTCTACCTTAAACCTATCTCACGTATCTCATGATAAACCGTTTAAATCTTTTTTTAACCCCAATATCCTTATTAAAAAGGACCTTTCGATGGATAATATATCTTCCATCAACACGGGCGGTTCTAGTTTAATTTCTAAACCTATAAAACCTTTAAAAGATCAAAATAATCTTATTAAAAAGGACATATCTATAGTCAATACAACAACGTCAATCAATACGAATTCTTTCAAACTACCATTAAAATCGTCAGTTCATTATGTAGCTAAACCAATTAAGACTACTACAATGTCTTACTTGGATAAAAGAAGGTATCATTCTTTCAAGGATGTGCATTGCAAAAGGAATGAGATGGGTTATAAGGAAAATGTGAAGGTGAACAAAAATAAGGTTTAAAACAATACAATTTAAATTTACGTTAATTTTTGATTTATTTGTTTTTATATTAAATTATCATCACATCATTTATGATAATTCATTGGTAGACAATTGGAATTTAAAATAAAAATTTTATATTCACAAACCCAACATACCTGTTCAAATATAAATTAAAAAAATGTCTAAAAAGCTCGAACAAGACTCGTCCTCCCCTTCCTCCCCTATTAACCTGACTGAAGATCTCTTATCAAGCTTGGCCGATAGCAAGGATCTACAAGCAATGGAAACAATTTTCAAACCCCGTAGTAAGGCTGTGCCCAGAACGCCTCCTATTCCTTCATCCCCATCCCACTCCATCAGAAATGTATGTCAAAGCAATGTTAGTTCTCTCCCAATCAACAATAGTAATATCTTTCGTAATTCTTCTAGTGGTTATAATTTAACTACCACTTCGCTAACAACTACTAGGCCAATGGTTATGATAAGACCCTCCACTTCGAAAGCCGTGTTTTCCGATAAAAGTAACGTTAATTTTCCATTCAATAACATTCTTCAACTAGATAAATACGATGCGGGCAACGCATCTATTTGTTCTACTAATCTCTTTTATGAGAGTCCGTTGACCAATGAAAAGACATTGGTGAATAATTTTATTCAGAACGTTAATTTGGGGCTTGGAAATTCGAGTCATTTAAATGCCAACGATTCTAGGGAAAGGCAAGAAAATGAATATCCTTTTCCTATTGGAATCAAAAAAGACGTAGCCAATAAAATAACATATAGGCAGAGCGGAAGTCATCTGTATTTAGGACCTGGACAAGAAAGCTCTCCTGAAGTATAATTATTTATTATTTTGTTGTTTTAATATTTATTTGCCTATTGTTTTTTTATCGCTAATATAAAAATTATAAGTTGTATTGTATCAACTAGACAAAGACATAGATTATATGGTTATATTATTGTTATATTCATTTAAATGATTACAGGAAACCTCAGAGGAATGCTTTGTGGACATGAAATTACTCACCTCCAACTCCTCAATTTTAAATGATAATTACTTTAATAATTCAAAAGAGAATATGCTGAATCTTTTAAGTTCTAAAGAGATCTCACAAACTAAATCATTACTCAAAACTACTGAACGTAGTAACCCAATTTCAGTCTTCGAGAACTTTAAAAATGCCAAACATTTTTTTGGAGGAGAAAACTACATGACCACAGCAAAAGGCGGGTCTGATAATTTAAGTGCTATTATAAACAATGAATTTGAATGCAATAATAATTACCCAATTCAAAATATAAGTAGTATCAATAATATACTTACCGGAGGAAACACGAACGATAATTTGACGACTCATTTGGAAATGTGTGAAACACTATCTAGTCGATTGAGGCACGTTAAAATGGCGAAAAATTTCTTTAGAAATAATGGCAATATCTTGGTAATCCTTATGCCTATTATTTATATTTATGACAAATATTTCCGATTTATCTTTTTATTAGTACACAATGATTATTCATAAATTCTGACGATTTGTTATTTTTGTTTTAAATGTTTTTACTCACATATTATATTGGTATAAATCCCGATTTGATAATTATAATGATAAAAAATTTAAGTCGGCCTTAGATTTGATATTCGACACAAACGAGGAGTCTATTTTTGTTGATGTTTTGTCTCTACTACTTAAGTGTCCGAACCTCTGGACATTGGACATCAGTCTTCATTTGTTACCTCGCCTTAACGATTTGCTCAATCATAAATACGAAACGTATGTTATTCCGTTTTTATTCTTATTTTATTTCTCCCCCCCCCCTCGTATTTTTAATATTATGATTTTCTCTATATCGGCTTTCAATCTTATTGCTTATATGTTTATGCCTTTTTTATTTTATTTCTTCTTTTTTATTAAATTTTTTATTTTTCATTTTAGATAATTTTTTAATAGATAATTCAACAATTTTTTTACCAAATCAGATATATGACACTCAGTTGCAAAGCGCTTAAATTAATACTAAAGAATTTCGGTTCTCTCATAAAATCATCTCAAAATAGATCCACAGTCATCATAGGAGTCGATCTAAGTAGGGAAGAAAGGTTTAAATATTCCCATACAAGTTGAAAAATAAATTTGATTAATTTTAAAATATACTTTTATTATATCGGGTAATGATATCGGCTAAGTTTAATCTGCAAGCTCATGCTAAAGTATATCTGTTAAGCATTGAGACTAATCTATTTCCTTTTAAGCTAAACTATATTGATAGTTTTTGGCTAAAAGCCAGGTTCCGGTATTTTTTAACCAGTTAGATGTAGGCGAAAACTGCTAAAGATAGAGATATTAATTACCCATCGATAAATTATGAGGGCGTCTAATTTACAATATGAAACTCTATTATTGTTATATTAATTTATTTATATAATTCTAAATTAGAGTTCAAAATTACATTTGATTTTTATTAACCATATTTCTCAAGGTTTAAAAAATGTCATTCCTGCTACAAACATTTGTCATCAATAAAAAACCACTTTGATAATTCGATTTTATTTGGAGGAAAACTGGGAAAAGAAATTAAGGATCTTCAAATCTTACTTCAAACTTTGGACTGATAATATCAACACACAAAAATATAATTTCGTTTTATGTGATGGATCAGATTATAGTGTTAATTAATTTAAATTCATTATATGGTGATATTTTATGCATTGTAGTTTACAACAAATCAATATTATTTGATCAATTGTAATCAAATTTATTTCCGTCCCTTTCAAAATCAATAATAAATCTTATTCATAGGTCATATTTCGTTTGTTTTAAATAATATGCCCTCTTATAAAAATTATGTATTTTCTTTTAAAGTCATTCTTCATCGTTATTATGGGTCCAAGCATCATTTTTGACTAAATATTGCTAGAAAATTTTATTTTAAAATTAGATGTTACAGTATAATAATAGTTGAGTACTAAACGATTATTTTTGATATTCATATTTTGAATTACAAATCTTCTATATATTATTATTTTTTGTAAAAATATATAATGATATACTTTTTTATAATAAATATATTTATGATATGGTTCATTTAAGTTTGTATAATGATAAGAGCACATTTATTTTTATATATATGACTTTGTATAAATCTTATTTATTTTCTTAAAATATAATAAAAAATTATTTTAATAGCTAGCTTTTTGCAAAATTTTGTTTTAAGAATACATGCAAAAATGTTTAAATTTTAATTTTTTCAATTTGTTTTTTAAATAAGTTTTTTATTATATAAAAATAATAATTTTTTTTACTGTAAAGTTAATTCTACTATATAAATATTTGATGTGATATTATATATTTTTTAAAGGGTTAATTTCGAGTTTTTTTAAAAAAATATCGAGTTGATATTTTTATAGAATTATATTGGAATATTCTTAATTTTATAACAAAGCATTTAATTTATTTATACTTAATAATTAGTGCTAAAGTTAAATCCGCTTGCTTTTTGGGACCCTTGAATTAAGAATAGATCTTACAAAATCAGATAAATTTTTTCGAAAATATAAGAATGAAAGTCTTCATTTATTAGTATTTATCTCACTTATGGACCAATATAGATTTGACCCTCTTTACGCCACTGATAATATATCCATTTTATTTAGGAATAAGTAATTAGAAATAATTATTATTTTATTTATAAATGATTAAATTAAATCTTTTCTTGTTAATTATTTATTCAGGTTAGCATTTACATAAATATCAAGAGTAATGAATTATCATTAAAATGTATAAAAAAATTATGATAAATATTATGTGAGATCGCTGAAAATTTTATTCTTATTCACCATTGTTCGAAAATTTCATATTTCGGATTACATCTTTTGATTTTTCTGGACTCAAAACTTGATTTTTCGTGTTTGGCACTCTTGGATTACTTATATTGCAAAATATTCGACCATCCGAATTATTTGGTGAGAGCATTACTACATTATTATCCATGTTATCATAGGGCATACCCCCGGCTTTCCTAGGGAGTGTTTTATATTGCTGATTTTGTTCATTAGCAGCAGCATCTAGATTTCTGTTATAATTTTGAGATGCGGGGTTGAACTGTTGCTGCTGTATCATATTACCCATTTGAGCAGGTTTATTTGGATATTGTGATCGGGGATCAAAATAAAAATCCGGAAACTTACTGAAAAATGGACTCTTGTTTTATAATATATTAGATAAAATTAAATTACAAAAGGATATTAAAAATTATTATAGCTTAAACCCACAAGCATGTGTATGGCGAAATTATAGGAATTATACAGCAAAGAAAAGTAATTCGATATTATGATAGAAACAAATTATTGCTATAGGACCGCATAATTTTTAGAGAGGAGTTATAAAACCAATAGTAGGTATAAAGGCAATGACTAGGTGTTGAATAAGATCTTCGGAACTAATAAAATAATTTATTTTTTGAAACATATTTTGTACTATAACACCGTATTTTAGTTTGTAATAATATTAATTTGCACATTAAATAAATTTTATTTCTTATAATATTTTTTCCGTACAAATAAAATAAAGACACGTGGTCTCTGGTAAATCTAAAAAGTCTCTTTATTTTTAGGCTGTTCAGAGCAAGCTATATAGACGGCTAAACAGACGACTGTTTAAAAACATGAAGAATCAGGACACGGCCATAACGAATGTATGGATTATCTGGTCCATAGATACAAAGATTAAGATTTTTAAAAGATAATAATGACACTACTAGACCAGATGCACCACAAAATTATTTAGTAAGAATTTAAAGACAATGAGAATCATAAAACGAATCTAATCTGTTCAATATAATATTCGAATCCTCTAAACTTGCTACGGAAATTGATAAAAAATATATTTAGTAAAGGCAGGGGCATCACTAGCCTTTACAATCTCAGGGGGCTTAAAAAAAATTTCTTAAGCTAACATTTTCAAAATGATCTTGATTATTAAAAAATTTTCCCGTTAGCTAATTTGGCGGACTTCACCTTCAGTAATAAAATTTAAATTAAGCCAGTGATAATACTAATGAATGCTCTCACGGTATAGGTATATGCTTGTAATCTTGACGGATACCCAAAATAATAATTTATAAATTTAAAAAAAAATTGGCCTACATTTAATCCACGAATAAATAAGAAAAAAGAAGTAATTACAAATTTCTAAACAGATAAGAATGAAAGAGTTGTATTTTTGTTGCAGAATTAACTATTGAAGAATATACATAATAAAATAAATTGCGACTCTATCTTACTTATCATTTATGCATTTGCGGATCATTTTTGTTAGGAAATTAAAATTAGATTCTAGGATGATAGTATTAAACTTGTCTAATAAGAAAAAATGGTAGTTTTGGATTTTTTTAGGTTATAAAATAAGAAAGCTAGGTTTAATAACAGAGAACTTCTAATAGCAAAGCCATGATTAATGAATGGATGGTGTATTGTTAGTTTAGATGGTAAAAATATTAAGGACTATGTGAAAGTTTTTGTTGAGATATAGGTTATACATGGCAAGTTAGAACATCAAACTGGATTACAAACAATGAAAAAATTTAATCGTATTTTTTTTTAGTTTTGAACATAAATTTAGCTGAATCGAATGAAAGTTGTGATTAAAATTATAAGTTGGAAGATTTTAAGAATATTTAATATTATAATAAACATACTGATGGATCCTTGAGACATTTTAAAATACGTTCTCTGCAAATTATTTCGTCATTACGTGTATTGTCGTTAACCGGGTATCTTGATCTTAATCGGATTCGCTCCTTATTTAATTTCAAATGTGCTATAATAATAATAATGTATTCCTAATAATTAATTTAGAAAAACGAAAAAAATATGTATAACTAAGAAATGACCAATATCTTAAAAATGTTGAGCTCTTTTAGAAACTTAAAAATATTATTAAATAAAAAAACGCGATCTTCGTTTAGTTAAAAATTGAAAATATTTAATTAGCGGCATCGCCAAGCGTCCACACGAGAGAATATAATTCGAGAACAAAACTTAAAGTTATGCTCAAACAACATATTTTAGGTAGGATTTAAACCGTTTTTATATTGATCATCTATTTTATAAAAAAATTTTAATTACTAATAAATTGTGGAAATTTTAATGTCCTAAATAAGCTATTTTTTGAATTTTAACTACATATTAAGCAGAGAAAATTTTATTTGAAAACTCGTCTTATGGAACTTCCATGTTATTTACTTGTTGAAGAGCACCTGATATTTCGTATTCTACTAATTGCTGCCGAAAACTAGGATTTGGACATATAAATGTTCTAAGGGATATCACAGAATTATAAGCCTCTTGAGAGGTTAAGTTGGTGGCAGACATTAAATAAGCTATTACCATGGTGGGGCCTCTTGATACACCGCACATACTTTTATAATAAATTTAAATTGTCATTATATTATTACTACGAACTTTTAACATTAATTAATGAAATAAGCTTTCTATTAATTTTATTCAAATATATTAAAATCTTTATCAACCATTAGTAATAAATACACGACTCTTTGTCGAATACTATAAATGTTAGAAATAATCTATACTAGAGTCCTTATAACTGCCCTTGATCTTCTTCCCATCCTAAACGTTTTATAAACATTTAATACCTAAAATTCTATATTTAATTCATCTAATCTCAAACTATATAAAATTATTATTTATATAATTTTATACCAATGCACCAAGACTTTTCCTCCTTTAAACCTTGACGTATGTACATAATCATTGACTCTAGGAATGAAGTCTAACATATGTTGACTCAATATATCTTTGCAAGGTATTATTAGAGATTCTCGATTCTTTAATTACAAAATAAATATAGATAAATTATTATGTGCAATCGATCACGTTTTTCAATTAGTTAATTATAATCATGATCATAAAAAATGAAAAATCCTACAAATAGGTTTAATGTTACCGAATATAATTTTGTTGGGCATTCAGTCAGTGAGACAATATGGGTTACTCCCTTTTTGGTCATGAGATCACTATCGGCTGCTTCTTTGTATCCTGCTAGAAATAAGCCAGGAATTATCTATAAAATAATTTTTTAAAAGTATATATTTGTTTTCACATTTTATTAGTGTTGTTAAATGACTCGTTTCGGTTTGAACCGATTTTTAAAAACGGCTATCTCAATATTTTAGCCAGAAATATATTGCCTAAGCCACGAGATTTAGCAAATAGATGTCCAAACTTTTGTTCTTTCTACAATCAAAATCTTCAGGCTTGCGTAATATTATTCTGGAGGAAAGTTTTTAAAAATCAGCTCAAAACGAGCCGTTTAACAACACTGCATTTTATGGAAGATGTTTTAAAATAAATATCTAATATATAACCTCATGAATAGTTTCAGCGGCGTACCCACTCGGAGTTTGTTGATTCATCAATTTGAGCTGGAAATTTTTCAATATGGCATCTTCTTCGGTATAATAGTTATATATATTTCAAGATACTGAAAATTTAGCTGTTACTTTTTAACATGAAAAATTATCTAAAAATCACTCGGTTTAAAATATTTTTTTTGCTTATCAAAATATTTACCATAATTTACTTATTATAATAAAAATGGTGAATTTTACTCCAATTCAGGGACATATCATGATTAGAGAAATCGGTTGCATTTAGTTCCCAGAATTTCTATTATTTAAAAGCAATAAGATAATTTTGGCAGTAAAAATGATTTGTGATTGAAAGTCAGTTTCTTTACTATTTTAACCAAATAACCAATGAATTTCCAGTATGATTAAAGAGAATTATAGGGTAGAATATGAAAAACAAAAACTTTAAATTCTATAAATTTAGCTTTTCCTTTTTTTAATATTAAAAAAACTTTAATTAAAATATCTTGTGTTATCTGATTGAAAAAGAGTATTTATTTTAAATTTAAAAAAATAATTGCGCAATAATGTTAAACATAAATCGTAATGATTGATTCCTCTTTTCTCTGACGTTTTTTTTTCAGAAATGTAAGCTTATAATGCAAAATAAATGGTTTTGAATATTCCAATTAACATTTTAACTGTAATGATCCCATACTATATAATATTATGCTAGCACAATCGATTTTCATGATATCATTCCAATTATTTGTAGTCAATATTTTATTACCTATAATGGATGATAAAAATATTGGTGCATTGGAAATGAATATTTTTTAAACCTCTAAAAAAGTATATAATATGATAATGATAATGGTTATAATCTTAGTTTCATTTTTTTTAGTAGAGTTATTTTTTAAATCTTAGGATTTCGTGTTCTGGTTTTTGCATAAAATCTATTTTAAATATTATATGATACGATCGATAAAATTTTAATTAAATGCAGTCTATACATTTATATAATGATATTCTAAAGCCTGAATTTCAATTCAATTATATATTAATATCCAATACATTTGGCACAGTTGATATATAATATAACTTGTAATTTATATATTAATCGTTATCTACCAATAATTATATCAGAAACTAAATAGAAATGATAAAATTTAAACGTAGGCGTTTCTTATATATTGCTGAATTTATACAAGATACAAGGATATGGTGCAGACTGAGCTGAGCATAAGGAAAAAATGGCAAAATGACCCTCATAACCGCCATAAAATGAAGATTTTGGAGGCCTATTGAAATAAATTCGATTTATGCTTAGGAACATCAGCAAATTCAAACTGTTAATTTTTTAGAGTTAAACAGATGTTTATGATTAGTTTAAAAAAAATGTATGTATAATTTTATTTCGAATTTGAGCATTGTTTAGTAAGTTGGTAATAAAGGATTACGAGTTCTTATTAACCGCTAATTGCATATATTTTTTTAGGAATTTTAAAAATAATTTAAGCTATTCTTCAACAAAGAAGATTAACTTACTGAATGGACCATGATTAAAGTCCAAACGCTATCTTTAATAGCATAAGATATGATGTCATTAAAATTAAATAAATTATTCACTGTTAAACTTTGCCTGAAAATATTTGTAATTAGGCGCATGAAGAAAATATATTCCGATGAATGCAAAGGTGAGAAACCTATTTTTCAAAAAAGTAGCTCTCATTCATTTATAGTAGATGGCGTTTTGATCTGACTAAGGTATCCTGGTTTGGTATAATATTATTAATACTACCATTAGCCTATCAAGTTGCCCTTTGGATTCATTCAAATTAATATATGGCCAGCTCAACTTGTAACTAGGGTGGACAATCTCAGATATGTTTAACATCCAGAAAATAAAGATAATAATTTATAAAATATTATCATAAATAGATGAGTCTGATGATAAAAGGAGATGTTAATATTAGTTGTTTATCGTAATTTATAATATATAAATAACATCTTATTGACTGGGCCAAAAAATCAACTTTCACAAAAACTCATATAGCTCTAAACCTATTATAGAATAATCTTTGATTTAAATTTCATTACGTTGCCTGAATTTACTAGTTTTGTTCAATGACAAAACATTCTGGCACATTTTACAACGAAAACTGTGTTAATTTTTAAAAAGAAAATTCCATATTATCATTTTTCAGGGAATTTACATGTCGATATGATGTGTATCAAAATCTTCTTTAATATCCATTTCTATTGTCGACATTTAAAATTTAAATTATTTTGAAAATAATTAATTATAAAATTATAAATAAATTATAATAATTTTTATGTGTATTTTTCTAAATTTATAGAGAGCTACCGCTATTGCTATTTTTTAAATGTAGCGCGCGAAAGCTATGGCTACTAAAAAAATAGGGGGCTATTGGGGAAGTAGCCGTAGGAATTTATACTGTCGAGGAGGGGGAAGGATCGAAGGAGTTGTTCCTGGTAGTGGGGTCGTTTACATAATCGTGAAGGCAACCGTCGCGCCGCAGGATCAATGCCTATTTACCACTTAAGTTAAATTGTAATATATCGATTGGCATTCGTCGCACAGTTGGATTAGGGCTGATCTAAGTCCTAAATTAATTAGATAAATAAGGAACGGCATTCTCCGCATCGATTAGGGCGGATTTAAGTTCTGAATTAATTTGATAAAAAATAAAAGGAACGGCATACGCCGCACCGCAGGATCAGTGCCGATTACCTTTATTTAACTAAAAATTATAAGGAACAGATTGTTCCGCCCTGCAGGATAAATGCAGATTTAAATTTGCCTAATCGGGAGTGGTCACGGTCTTGTATATGGTGTATGGAAAAAACTAGTAGCAAATGATTTATTGAATTCAGTAAAACAAATTCTTCGTAGAAGTTTATAAAAAAAAATTAATGATCATGATTACATAATTTTCATCTAACTAAAAGTGAGTTGACAGCAAGTATTGTTCTTGCCATAAAAGAAATAACTATTTTTACAATAAAGTATTATTACAAAAGATTTTATACTTATTGTACATCCTTAATTCTAACTTGGACCAGTTTCGAGTAGCTTTTTATAGAGAGAAAAAAACAAAAAAATTAATTTTATTGTCGTGCATTAAAAAAAAGAATGTAAAGAACTATGATATACAAAAGCAGAAGGGATAACTAATGACAAAAACAACGTGGGTGAGACTTCGAAAGAAAACAACTGTTTTTATTCCTTTACAACAGCTACTTTAGCAGACTATACAGAATATAACACGAACTCTGATTCTGACTTGTTATTAGATGAGGATTATCAAATGATTTAGAATGTAATGTAAGTGGCTTGTAGGGTAAGTCTTGCACTGAGATTTGGTCGAAATAAGAATGTGAATAAAGCCTTTATTTGGGAAAACTAAAATAAATTCTTCGTTTAAGTAAAGTTTTTATCTTTAAGAAAAAGGAAAAAGTCTTTTATTGTTAACTATTTATCTAGATAATATAAAAATTTATATGATCACAATCTTTTTCTGAAAATATATATATATCTCAAATAACATTTAATATGTTCAATTTTTATAATATCACGATTTACATTATTGCCTTAAACATTTAAATGAGTATTTATATTAACGCATAAGACAATAATAAATAAAAAACTTTAAATTGAATTGCTACCATCACGTAACAGAATGATGAAATAGAAATTATACAATCCTCTTCTACAAGTAATACCAAAAAAGTGGACTTTAAAAATACTTTGGTCAAGGTTAGAAAAATGTTTTAGATTTCAAAAAGAAAAGGCTTGTAGTACAGGCAATATTAGTGTTAAATATCTCCTATGCCTTCTAAAAAATACATCACTATGTTTATTTTTACATAACTTGTCTTGAATTATTGTACTAAGTTTTACTTAAAAGGTATATGTATAAGAGTTTTTTTTGCTATATTTTATAGAATAATAAATTAAACTAACATTTTGAATAATTAAGAACGCATTATATGATAGCCAATCCTTAAAAATAAGATAAATTATATATAATAAGAAAAGTAATTCAACATCAAATAAATTAAAACAAACAAAAATTAACTCCTTGTGAGTATTACATATTAGTAACGATTTTATTTTGTTAATATATTTTTTAATGAAGGTTAAAGGCTATCAAATTAAACTTTTCCTTCATATTAAATTTTATAAGAAAACTAAATATTAGATGATATATTTAATATAAAATTGATTTATTTTATTTTTTTTTGATTATTATTATAAAACTTTACTACCTGAACTTTTAAAATCAATATTTTTAAATCGATTCTTATTAATTCCTACGTTCAAATCAAGCCATCACTCCCGCTTGTTCAATAATGAGGATGTAGATTTTATAGTTTTAATAAATACTCTGTAACCTAATCTGAAGTATTGCAGACAAACCTTAACTTCAAGAATATCTAAATATGTATTCAAGGCTATTTTAGAGATAGATTATTAGAGCATAATTTTGTTTGCACAACAGTCTTCTGGAGGCCTTTTTAGAGAATGATAATTAAGAGCATATAACATTTCATGTCAAAATGCCAACATTGTGGAATTTACCAAATAAATCAGGGCTATTATCTAAACTAAATAAAGAGAATAAATTATCAACTACCATATCCAGTATAACAGGGTGGGGCAAAATTTTGTTGTTAATAATGAAAATAATAGAAGAATTTATACAATCCGATAATAACAATATCATATATGATGATTTCCTAGTGTCATATTATATTTGAAATTATTTATTTTTAAAATTATTTTGTTTAATATTTATCAAATTTATAAATAGTCACCTGATTTTATATATTACGTGTAGAACTCATGATCGATTTGTCCCATAAAAATATAAAAGGGACTAAATTTTATAATTATTATGACTTCTTGTTTTTTTTGTAATTATATATTTAGATGGAGAAAAAATTTGGAGTTGAAAATTTATTACTTTTAGTTTTAGAGTTGTGTTGAAATTGAGTGTATTATTAAATGGAGTTGTTATATTAGTAGTTTATTATATATAATTTTCACACCCACATTTAAATTACTTTTTATTAAATATAATTTTCTTATATCAAGAGCTACCGTGGAATGTTTTCAGTCTAGGAAAATGAGAAACGAGAGTATCTTTTAGAAAATTTATAAACCCAAATTTTTATAAAAAGTAATCAGTGCAAATATATATTTTATTTCAGTAAAAATAATATTCTCTGGTATTTTTTCCAGTATAATTGTTTAAATTATAACGAGTTACTTTTGAATTTTGAAAACTAGTTACTTGATTAGTTATCTTTCTAAGAATATTATTAGTAACTATGCCTAGTATGATAAACAAACATAAAAGCTAGAAAAGATAATTTTTAATAAAATAAACAAAAACAATAAAAAAAAATTATTGGTTTCAAAAGTAACTTTTAACAACACTAGAAATAGAATATTTTAAATACGAGGATAACGTTTCCTATTTTCTGTTAGACTGAACATAAAACATCAGAGTTGTTATAGTAGCGTACCTGCGCACTAGATTATTTTTTTTAGGAGCGGAGCACGCTACTTCCCTACTTCTAAATAATATAATAAATATAGCTATAAACACGGAAATTAAAATATAATTTTATGAATTTATGAATTTATAATTTATAATATTTTATTTTATTATTAAATTTTGAAAGTGAGATATTTTCAAATTTGTGTTATAAAACTTAACCATCTGGAGTAAAATTAATTTGGATATTGAAATCGATATTTTCATTTTCCAAAATTTGTAAAATATTTTCAAATCAACGGAAAAACAAAAGGGGCTCCAAATTTATCTGTTTAAAATGTAGGAAAAATATATCCTCAAATTAGGTAGGTATTTATTAACTCCGTAAAATTAATTTGGATATTGAAATCGATATTTTCATTTTCCAAAATTTGTAAAATATTTTCAAATCAACGGAAAAACAAAAGGGGCTCCAAATTTATCTGTTTAAAATGTAGGAAAAATATATCCTCAAATTAGGTAGGTATTTATTAACTCCTTAGATGGAAATCTGTATGTAATGCAATCAAATTAGGGGCATTTTTTCTTGATGAAAGAAGATTGAAAATGAATTTTCTTTATGATCTAGTTTTCAATGGATTAATGATAATGAGAATACTATTATAAAAGAGTATACAAATGTAATTCTAATGAATAATTATTCAACTTCTTTTTCCATATTTCAATTTAAGTTATGCAATGTGTGGCTTCCTAAAATTTTGGAAGGTTAGAATAATATGAAGAAATTAAAGAGATATCTAGTCCCTAGTAGATTCTATGCTATAAGGCATTAAGAAAAAGTAATTTTCTATTTAATGGAAATTTTAATTACAGGCTAAATAAATGAAATCACAATTAATCTATAATTTAAGTTTGTATATATATTTTGGATTAAGCAATATATAAGTAGAATGTGTATAGTTGTCCTGACTATAATTGAACAATTAATTCAAACTTAAAAGCTAAAAGATTTATAAATGACAAAGGGGAATTTATAGTAACCGCGTTATGTTCTAACGATGTGTTATTTAATGCAGCATTACTTACAAAATCAAGTCAATAAATAAGTAAAATTTATATCCCCCCCCCCATTCCCAAGGAAATTATGGCTACGCCTGTGTATAAAACTAAAAAAATTATATATCAAATAAAGATGAATTATTTATAAGCCAAAAAAGACTTTTTCAGATATTTTTTTTGAAATAAAGGATATAAATTTAAGAGAAAATCTTTTAAATGCCTCTTAAATTTACAAAGTAATCAAAGAACTTTTTTAATAATTATTCTTATTTAAAAAAAGTTATTTATAAAAATAGTTTGAGGATTAGATTTGTTAAAAAGCACGACGAGCCAATTTTTAAAATCGACCTGATAAAGATTTTAGCTAAAATAATATTAAATAAGCCTAAGTCTTGGAAAATAGATGTCCAAAACTTTCCGACATCCATAAGCATTTTTAGGACAATATAATAATATTTCTAAAATTCTAATCGGGCCGTTTTTGAAAATCGAATCATGCTTTTTAACAATATAGGAATTATAATATAAAAATGATTTATTATTAAAATGTAACAAAATTAATAAAAGTTAAATTATCATAAATAGTTATTCTTTATTATATCAATTTTGGTCTATTTATATAAATTATTTAATAATCAATAACTAATTATATTTAAATATTTATAATTGTTGACTTTTATATATACAATATAATTATAATCAAAAAATAAAATAAATTTATTTGTATTTTTTTTATGAATCCTATAAAGTAGTCAACTACATTTGTAGAAAAGAGCTAATAGCGCTTACTTTGCCTGATGGGTAACGCGTTACTTTTTTGGCAAATTGATAGCAGTAGGGGGGCTACTTTTATAAATTGAGTTTAACAAATCAGAATTCTATGATGTAGAACTTCTAAATATAAAAATTCAAAATATTTTGATATATTTCATATTAAGCTATACTGGTAGAATATATTTAGTTCTTTTATTAGATTGTTCATATATATTTAAATACATGTCCTTATATGTATAATATTATTTTAAATTATATGCTTTTTGAATAAAAAAATATATAAAAACTAGAGGCATATTTAATTTGTTAAATCTACATTAACATTTTCCTCTTGTATTAAAATTAAAACAGTTGTTAATCACGTGATAATTAGTATTTTAATAATTTTTTCAATAAGGATATTATATTATTATGTTACCAAAATAATATATTATTATTAGTCATGGAGAGTATTTCTGTTCCTGTTCAAGACTTAATTCGAAGAAATTCTGAACCGTTTGCATCTATGAATAGTTTAAATAATATTAATGCATCTAAAAATACTCTACACAAAATCTCACTGGATCTTACAGATTTAAAAAATAATATTAACTGTAATGATATCAACACAAAAGTAAATCATTCTCCTAGAAAATCGATAGGTCCAAAATATAAATTATTAAATGATGGAAATGTGCATTTATGCAGAATTAATCACTCAAGAAATATTATAAATAAAATATTGTCGTCTAATCTATTAAGAAGATGGGAGAATCACAATTTAGTATTATCTTCAACTGAAATATATTCAACCTCAGTAAGTTGTTTAATATTTAATTATTATATATAATCGCTTCCTTTTTTATAAATAAATGGATATATTAATTATATAACCTTTAGTGATTGCCCAAAATTTTTTTAAAAAAATTTTGCCGACCCGGCCCGAACCCAAAATTTATTTTAAAAAAATTTACCGGGCCGGCCCGAATTTATTTAAATATAGAAATTAATTTTTATAATTACTTAAAATACAAGACATATGTTATATAGCATTTAGTTTCAATAAATTAAATAAAATTTTTTTATTTTACATAAAAAATTCAATATAAAATTGATAAATTTAGATATATTTAATAAAATTTCCAAGACCCTTCCAGCTTGAATTTTTTAAAAATATTAGGCCCAGCCTGATCCCGATTATTTTAAATAGAATGCAGATCTCTAATAACCTTATTTATTATTATTTATCACAAACTTTAAATTTATAATGATCTCAAATATATTACACAAAAATAAACTTAATCACCTAGGTTTTCTAAGAAACTTAAATCTTAATCTTTTGGGTCTATTCGATCCTAATATTTTTAAAAGAATATAAGACAACACTTTTATATTGAAACTCACCTACCCATCTACTGTTAGTATAATTAATGAGAAATATTTTTGTTTATCTAAATATTCCATAAATTTTATTTAAAATATTAAACTTTTTTCAATTCTCTGGGGAACCATCTTTTAGCCCTATAACTTTTTTTAACATAAAATAACATTAAATTTTTTTTAGTAATTATCAATATTATTATCATTTTATTGAATTTATTAAACACAACATAGATATAAAGATTTGATATTATTACAGATAAATTTTGGTTAATATTGATAAGCTTTATTAAAAATTAATGATATTTAGCAAATAAATTCTCAAATTTGATGATAACTCATACATATTATATTAGTTAATGAATAATTTATAATATTTCATTGAATAAATATTTTATTGTTTTGTTTATTATTTATTCCATCTATTATTTATTTTTTTAGAAAAGAAGAAATTTGAACCTTTTTGTTGTTGAGAAAACACCTTAAAATTATAAATAATCTAATATATAATCTAATATATAATCTCCATAATCAAGAAATGAATGTTTTCATATAATCTTAATGTTATTTTTTCTATTAACTTTCCTATCATCTTAATGTTAGTTTTTCTATCAAATTTCCTATCATCTTAATGTTAATAAATCGAAGGAGACCATATAGCTCTAATGTTAAATATTTAATACACCTGTTCCATAGGCAAACGTTCTTTCCAGCTCAGCCCCCTTCCTTTTTATATATGAAACTATATTTTGATAAAGTAATTTAATTATATCAATATTTTTTTTATTGAAACTCCAGGCTTGGGAAAAAAATTTTAAAATTATTATTGGTTGGCTAGGTTTGAGAATTTTTAAAATTATAATGAGTCAGGCTGGGGTTGGAAAATATTTTTATAAATTATATTGGGCTGGGCTTAGGGAAAATTTTTTAAATTATTATCAGCTTTGACGCTTGGGAATTTTTTATTATTATTAATTATTGACGTAAAACAAATTTTTTGCAGGCCTGAGCTCGGTCTGATCAAAAAACCAAGGCCCTTATTTTATTCCAGTTCTCAACTACCAAAATTATTATGATCTTTGGTTAGGGTTGGGGAAATTTTTTCAAAATTATTAAGGCCTTGGACCTTCTTAGGAATTTTTTCAATATTAAATATTAGGCATAGGTGCTCAGCAATATTTCAACAAATAATATTGACATGGGTATCAAGTAAAAGCTTTAAATATATTTTGACTCAAAACATAGCATTTACACCTAGTTTTAATAGTTTGGACCTGGCCTAAATGGTGGAGGGGGTTATAAAGAATAAAAATTGGATATTATTTTTAAATAACAGTAACAACTATCATAAGAGTATGGAGAAAATTCTCATTCCCCGTCATTTTTGATTAGCTCAGCAATGATGACTAGGAGTAGTGTTGTTAAACGGCTCATTTTGAGCCGATTTTTAAAAACGGCTAACTCAATACTTCATCCTGAAAAATATTACGTAGGCCTGAAGATTTTGTTCATAGAAGGAACAAAGGTCTATACATATATTATCGAAATCTCGAGGCTTAGGCAATATTTTTCAGGCTAAAATTTTGAGTTAGCCGTTTTTAAAAATCGGCTCAAAACGAGCCCTTTAATAACACTAACTAGGAGCTCTGGTATTCTTAGTTATATATTTTAAATTAAGAATATCTTATGAGGTGTGATACACAAATTTACCTCTTTTTCTCCTAAATTTTAATAATTTTATAAAATATATTAATAAATAATATTTAATACCTTATATACAAACTGATTACCCCTCAACCCCGTCAATCTTGACGGGCTATTAGCTAGTATAATATAAATAAACCTGATAATATTGTAATTACATTTTTATCCTTACAAAGTTGGAAATCTTCCTCTTTGTAATAGATGGTTTTTTAATGGCAAAAAAAAATTACACCCTCTCTCTATAATTAAAATTAATATTTTTTATCAGGTGAATTAAAATTATTTTATTATTATAATGGTCTGGGTAGGTTTCAAGAATCTGTAAATATCCATGAATAATTATTTTTTGCTTAAGGATCAGATGGCTCTACCTGATATTTGCAAAATGTTTAGGCTGACTAGAAATACAGAGGGATTTTATATGATCTCAATCCAATTCTCCCTTAATTTAATAAATAAGGCTACACCTTTACTTTAACCCTAAGAATATTAGTGTTATATTTCCCTCCAACTATTCCTTTTTTGCTTGATTGAAATATCGTAATTATAAAAGGAATTTAAACATGTAAAGGGCTCCCCTCCCCCATATTAAATATTTAGTTGGATCTACTTGAGGAAAACCAGCGTAGCTCTGTTTCCACAACGAGATGGTGAAACCTTTTTATCACGTATCACGTAAAATTTAAAAAAGCTTTAGAAAAATTAGGAGATGGAAAATATTTACTATTCATTTTCATATCATATTTTGTAATAAATAGGAATATAATAAAATAGATAAACATTATCATTAAATTATCAAAATTTTTGCCGAATAATTTATTTTATAACATAATAAAATAAATATCTGGGGTTTGAGATTTCTTCCCTATATTATTATTTTTTTTAAATTGGCTACCACTAATGGATCTAAAAAATACCACTGGGATATAGACGGGCTTGGGTCATTTTTTCTATAATTATTCAGGTCTCTAACAGCTAAGTCAACTGTAGACGAAATTATATTTCGCCTATATACAATGGCGGAAATAGATTTTAATGAATGAATCGTCAGTTTGGGTTAGTATTAATGTCATTGGTTGATAATAATTTCTTATAAAATATTACAATATACTGTAACTAATTTTTGACTTTAACCCTGAGTTATATTAATCTTATGTAACAAGAGAATTAATACTTATACTTAAAGATGGGTCTAACACATATTTTATTAATTTTTTAACAGAATAATTGGCTTTAAGAAAGTTTTTATTTAGTAATCGTAATGAAAGATAATACGAAATATGAAAAAATTATCTGTTTTTACTCATAAGATTACAATCGTTATAACAAATTATTTGATGGCGTAGGTTACAGGAAATTGTTGTCTTGCGCCTTATTTTAGAGCGGCAAACTCGGCAATTACGCACACACTATTTTTTACGTGTTTTATAAAATGATAATTCGTTTCCATCTTCGATTTCCAAACGTATATTTCGTCTCAAATTTTAACAAATATTTAATCAAGTTTGAGTCCATTTTTCAGAAAGAATTAAGCTAAGGTAAAGACGTTAAACTATTTTAAAATTAGATTGCAAATCTTATATTGCTAATAATATTCAGCAGATAGAATAATTTCATAATTTCCTTTTTGATCACTTATATGGCTATCGGCTTCCAAAAATTGTCAAGAGTATTATTTATTTACAAAAAAGACTCATAAAAAGGCTATCTACGTCGCTCTTGATAAAATATTCACGGTAGAATTCTATCATTGAACAATCTGCAACTTTTTATTTTGGCATTAGGAAACTAATACAATTTTATTATTACATTATCCCTTTGGTCCTCCAAGATGAATTGTATTTTGTCTAAATCTTTCTGAAACGAAGAATAGCCGGGTTTCTGCCAAATATGACCATTTTTTTCTTTGATTATTTAAGTTGGCAACGTAATAATCGAAGGAGAAATATTACAATATCATAAAATCATCCTTCTTTATATCTGATTTGCAAAAAATCCTCCAATTCTATAATAGAAATTTCAAAATCATCTTCTATTAAATTTCATAAAAAATATTTCTTACAATACAATTTTTTTTTCAAAAATAGTTTAAAAGTTAAAAATATTAATAACTTGTGACTTAATATTATGTCTAATATTTCCAAAAATTTAAAGAAATTTAGAAGAAAGATTTTTTTGGCCATTTTTTAATTACAAATAATATTATACATACATTAAAATTGTTTCATTGTGGCCGAAAATTCAATGAAAATTAAAAGGAAGATTTTTTTGGCCATTTTTTAATTACAAATAATATTATACATACATTAATATTGTTTCATTGTGGCCGGAAATTCAATGAAAATTAAAAGGAAGATTTTTTTGGCCATTTTTTAATTCTAAGAAAAATAATATGTATATTTTAAAAATTGATCCAATATGGGTTTCGAAACATAATTAATATCGGTTCCATTCAGGGGGAGTTTAAAAATAACAGTTTTCAAGTTCGGTTTTTTTGAACTTTTTTGCATCCAATCATATAGAATTTTCTAAAGACAAGCACATTTTTTGAAATTTTCCCCTACTCTCTAAAAATAATATGTATAATTTTAAAATATTTTTAAGATTTTCTTCGATAAAATTATAAAGGAGAAAGGAGAAATTCTGTGGTCGAGAACATTTCTAATATGCCAACTTGGCTAGCTGTCTACGAGAAATATGGAAATAATTACTGCTACTTATCAATCAAAACTG